CAAGCGGACGGATGCCTTGCGGCGTCACATAATGTCCCAAGTACTCCAGCTCCTGCCTCGCGAATTCGCACTTGTCGCGATTGGCTTTGTACTTGGCTTGTCGTAGCCGCTCCAAAACGGTGCGCAGGTGTTCCACATGCTCCTCCAAACTCCGGCTGTACACCCGGATGTCGTCGAGGTAAATAAGTACGTATCGATCCAACATGTGTCGGAACTCCGTTGTCATAGCCGCTTGGAAAGTTGTCGGGGCATTCGTAAGGCCAAATGGCATAACCAGTCGTTCGAAATGCCCATATCGCGTCTTAAACGCGGTCTTGTAGCGGTCCTCCTGCCAAATCTCGAGTTGGTGATATCCCGACTTGAGATCAAGCATGGAGAAGAACTTGGCGCCGCCCAGTCGTTCAAGAAGGTCGTCGATGCGTGGGAGAGGGCCGGCGTTTCTAATCGTCTGCGCGTTGAGCTTGCGATAATCGATGGATAACCGCAAATCCTTGTTCTTCTTCCGGACGAAGAGAACAGGAGCACCGTATGGCGATGAGCTAGGCCGAATCCAGCCTTTCTCCAGAAGGTCGTCAAGTTGTGCCCGAAGCACACTTAACTCTTCCTCGCTCATTCGGTAGATGCAACCGCGYGGAGGTACGGCCCCGTCCTCGAGGATGATCTTGTGGCGGATGGGACGATTCGGTACTACTCAGTGCGGGCCTTCGAACACGTCGCCGTAGGCGTCGAGAAGCTCGGTGATGCGTGGATCTGAAGAAGAGCCCGTCGATGAAGCGTCATGGGGCGGGAGGGCGTGGAGAAAACACACCCCATCTCCTCGATGTCGTCTCTGATGATAGAAGCTCGCATGGTTGCGGCGGATACCACGTGATAGCTGACTGAATCGTGAGGAGGAGCTACCGTTCATGGGACTAGTACTCCGTTCCGATCACGAACGTGAACGGTGCGGCGGTAGAAGTTCACCGGGTGATCCTCGCTTCGCAGCCATGACATGCCCAAGATCATGTTGAATTTGGTGTCCCGAATATCAAAGGACACCGCCTCACTTGTGTGAGGGGCAAAGTACACTAGGACGTCATCAATGCACCGGTCGATTGACTTGTGCGTGTGACCGTCCGCCAACGTRMCTTSCGTGGGCTGGGACTTCCTTCCGACTCGTGGGCCAAGGCCGGCGCGTACCATGAAGTCCTGACTCATGTAGTTGCGAGATGCTCCGCAATCGATCAAAGCGCTACAGGTCGCCTCTCCGATATGAATGCGTACATATAGCAATGGTGCRTCGATGTCGTCGTACCGTTGCRTCTTGAACTCGCGGTCGATCTTCGTGATGTAGGCRTGAAGGTCGAYAACCTATACTCCGGCGTCCATCAGCGGAGTTGGTACTGCAGTGTGCAAGTAATCCCTCAATTGTGCCTTGAGCACGTTGCAATGCGGTTTCGGCAATCGACCGGACCGGGGAAGGGGCATCCATTGGAAGTCCGCAAATGTCAACGGGTCGAGCTCGTCAAGTCTTGACCATGACGTTGAATCCCCGGCGGTAGATGGCGGCGAAGCTGCCGAATCGGTTGCCGATGGTGATGAAACTGTGCATGCGGTAAATTTGTTGCACGTGGAGTGGTTGGTCCAGCGGTGGGACCAAGTGGACAGCATAGTCCTCATAAGCATACCGAGAACTTACGACATTCGCATCCTCCCCAGATGTGTAGGAGGCCGCTAGCAAGGCGGCCGAATCTGGCGGAGTGGGAGGTGGAGTCGCCTCACCTTCCGTGAAACTCAGTTTCCCGAGTTGAGACGAGGCCGCACATCCTTCTTGGCCTGATCCTGGCAAAGGGAGGTCTTGTGCTTGGTGCTGTTGCACCAGTAACAGCAGCCGTAACGGCCGCGGTACTTGTACTCGGCCTCGGTCAAGCCGAACTTGACCCATGGTGGTGCAGGCTATCCATTTCCGGCCGGCGATGCTGATTTCGCCTTCCCGTTTSCTCGGAACTTGATGTTGCTTCGMGGCTGGACAGCAGCCACCTGATCTCCCTCACGTGACGCTTGGGTGGCTGCCGGGTCTTCCAYAGTGTTGTCCGATTGGACTGCAGCGACCTGCTGCTGTTGCGGASCAGTTTTCACCTTCTCCACATAGGTCGGCTGCYATGTTGACCTCTCGTGTGCAGCTGCCCTATTGGTCTTGATGATCTCTCTCGCCTTGTCAATAATCTCGCTGAAAGTTGCWTACTGSTCGCGATCACCAAGTGCCTGGCTCAATGCAGCGCATGACCTGTTGTAGAACTCACGGCGCAGATGCGRAAATKGTAAGTCAAGATCGGGCGTTGCCGCGATCTTCTGCCATTCCGTGAGCCAGTCACGTGTTGYTGTGTTGCCTTGAGTCATGATGAAGAGACGGTTGATGGCGAGTGCTGGTGCGTCGTCGACGATGAACCGCTTCTTCCACAGCCGTGTTAACTCTTCCCATGTGATCTTGTCTCTC